GTCATGGAAGATGGGAGGGATTCCAGAAGATTGGAAAAGGGCAAATATATAATGCCGATCTATAAAAAGAGAAATAAGGACAACCTGGGGAATTACAGACCAGTCAGCTTAGCTTCAGAAAGATAATGGAGCAAATAATTAAGCAATCAATTTGCATACATCTAGAAGATAATAAGGTGATAAGTAACAGTCAGAATGGATTTGTCAAGAACAAACTGTGTCAAACCAACTTGATAGCTTTCTTTGACAGGGTAACAAGCTTTTTGGAAAGGGGTAAGCAGTAGACGTGGTATATCTTGACTTTAGTAAAGCTTTTGATACTGTCTCACATGACCTTCTCATAAACAAACTAGGGAAATGAAACCTATATGGAGCTACTATAAGGTGGGTGCATAATTGGTTGGAAAACTGTTCCCAGAGAGCAGTTATCAGTGGTTCACAGTTGGAAAGGCATAACAAGTGGAGTCCCGCAAGGAACAGTTCTGAGTCCGGTTTTGTTGAATATCTTCATCAAAGATTTAGATAATGGCATAGAGCGTAAATGGACAAACTGGAGAAATGGTCTGAACTAAACAAGATTAAATTCAATAACGACAAATGCAAAGTACTCCACTTAGGAAGGAACAATCAGTTGCACATATACAAAATGGGAAATGACTGCCTAGGAAGGAGTACTGCAGAAAGGGATCTGGGGTTCATAGTGGACCACAAGCTAAATGAATCAACAGTGTAACACTGTTGCAAAAAAACAAAAACAAAACAAACCTCATTCTGGGACATATTAGCAGGAGTGTTGTAAGCAAGACACAAGAACTAATTCTTCTGCTCTACTCTGCACTGACTAAGCCTCAACTGTAGTATTGTGTCCAGTTCTGGGTGCCACATTTCAGGAAAGATGTGGACAAATTGGAGGAAGTCCAGAGAAGAGCAACAAAATTGATTAAAGGCTAGAAAACATAACCTATGAGGGAAGATTGAAAGAATTAGGTTTGTTTAGTCTGGAAAAGAGAAGACTGAGAGGGGACATGATAACAGTTTTCAAGTACATAAAAGGTTGTTACACAAGGAGGAGGGAGAAAAATTGTTCTTCTTAACCTCTGAGGCTAGGACAAGAGGCAATGGGCTTAAATTGCAGCAAGGGAGGTTCAGGTTGGACATTAGGAAAAACTTCCTAACTGTCAGGGTGGTTAAGCACTGGAATAAATTGCCTAGGGAGGTTGTGGAATCGCCATCAGTGGAGATTTTTAAGAGCAGGTTAGACGAACACCTGCCAGGGAGATCTAGATAATACTTAGTCCTGCCATGAGTGCAGGGGACTGGACTAGATGACCTTTCGAGGTCCCTTCCAGTCCTATGATTCTATAAAAGGCTCTATATAATCAATTTAACATTTATGTAGCTCCCATCAGAGCAGCAGCTAATTCAGGGGAGGGCAAACTATGACCCACAGGCTGGATGCGGTCTGTCAGGGCTTTCAATCCGGCCCGCAGGATTGCCAGCCCCATGGCGCAGCGGGGCTAAGGCAGGCTCCCTGCCTGCCCTGGCCCTGCGCCGCTCCTGGAAGCAGCCGGCACCATGTCCCTGCGGCCCTTCAGGAATGGGGGGGCCAGATGGCTTCGGCGCTGCCCTCACCTGCAGGCCCCGCCCCCCGCAGCTCCCATTGGCTGGGAACGGGGAACCATGGCCAATGGGAGCTTCGGGGGTGATACCCACAGGGGAGGGGAGCGTGCGGTGGAGCCACCTGCCCCACCCCACCCCCAGGAGCCACTGCCGGACATGCTGGCCACTTCTGGGAGTGGCATGGGGACAGGGCAGGCAGGGAGCCTGCCTTAGCCCCACTGCGTGCTGCTGCCATCCCGGAGCCGCTCAAGGTAAGCAGCGCCGGGTCGGAGCCTGCACCCCGAAGCATAGGTGCCGACTCCGTGGGTGCTGTGGGGCTGGGGCACCCGTGGGAAAAAATTAGCAGATGCTTCACACCCACCGGCAGCCAAGCTCCCCCCACCCCACTCCCTCCTCGCCTCCTCCTCTCCCAAGTGCGCCACGTCCCCGCTCCTCCCCCTCCCAGCGCTTCCTGCCCACCGCCTAACAGCTGTTCGGCAGCGCTTAGGACTTTCTGGGAGGGAGGGGGAGGAGTGGGGACATGGCGCGCTCAGGGGAGGAGGCAGTAAAGAGATGGGGCGGGGACTTGGGGGAAGGGGTGAAATTGGGGCAGGACGAGGGTGGGGCAGGGGTCAAGCACCCAGGGGGCAGAGGGGAAGTCGGCGCCTATGTCCCGAACCCCAACTGCACACTGCATCCCAACTCCTTGCCCTGAGCCCCAACCCCCTGCCCTGAGTCCCCTGCCGCACCCCTCCTGCACCCCAACCCCCTGCCGAGCCCCCTCCTGTACCCCAACCTCGTGCCCTGAGCCCCCCACACACACACCGCACCCCCTCCTGTACCCGAACCCTCTGCCCGTAGCCCCCTGCCACACCCCACGCCACTCTGGCAGCCCAACCGCCTGCCCTGAGCCGCCTCCTTCATTCCGCACCCCAACCCCTTGCCCTGAGCCCCTTCCTGCACACCGCACCCCCTCCCACACTCCAGCCCTACATTCATGGCCCTGCATACAATTTCCCCACCCAGATGTGGCCCTCGGGTCAAAAAGTTTGCCCACCCCTGAGCTAAACTCTTCACTGGTAAATGAATGGTGAAGTCCCTAGCGGACTTTGTGAACTCAGCTTCCTTCCTGGTAATGGTGGCTCTATACCATAATAAGGGGATTATGCAATGCATTCTGCAAGAACTATCTGCATTGGTTACATTATAGCAATTGGCTAATCTGATAAGGTTTGTTTCCCGTTGTGAAATCCTCCAATAAAAGAAAGTTAATGGGTTACTACTGCCTGTCCGAGAGTGTGCTACACATCAGGTCTAGATAGGTGCAGGGATTACTTTAACTATAGGCCATACTATGTAGCAGTGACTGATTTTGGAAAGCAACAATGGAAAAATGTATCCGCTTAGATGTTAATTGGGTAGATTTAATTCGACACACTTACATTTCATTTTAATTTTAAAAAATGAACTTTATAAAATGCCGCACTGGCGTGTGCTAAAACATATTATCTAATTACCTTCTCCTTTCATAGCGGATGGATAAAGTGAGGGCAGAGCAGTGCCTCTCTGAAGTCTATGCCAATTCCATGCCAGTAATTGGCAGGCAGGAGGTGCCACAGTGTCTGAACTAAACTCTTATTCCCTGGAGAGAGACTAGAACTAACTTGCTTCCTCAGTCCTCTCAAATATAAATATGCAATGATATACCTTCTCCCATGGGACTTAAAATTAAAGCATAAAACCTAATGGGAAAACTGTATCTTTCACTGAGAAATCCTTGTGGAGTGTCTGTGTGAAATTTACAAGGAGCAGGTAATTCTCAAAGAACATGCAGATAAGCACTACGGTAGAAACGTTTATCAAGCAGCAGGTGTCCAATTTAAACCTTGCTTAAAAAAAAAAAACTGTTTTCCAAAAAAAGTCAATAAAATTTCATGCTAAGTAAAACTAATTAGGTTGCAAGTAACCACTGCTGGACTGACACTTATTCATCTCAACAAAAGAAATATCTGGCAGATGGAAGTTCGTTAAAGCAGAGTTCGCCATACATATTTTATGCGCCACACTCAGAATTTATAACCTGCGGTTCACTGAAGCGTTGCCAGTACACATGATCAATAGAAAGCCACTATTATTTTTATCCAAAAGGTAAAGCTGCTGACAGGCTTTGAAGTCAAAGAATATTCACTCAGTGGTTCTCACTGTTCGGCAACTGAAAAAAAAAAAAAAGGCCAAGCCTTCAAATTTCAACTCTAACAAAGCAATGCGTACAGTAAAAACGGCAGCAGCGGGAAATAAAAAGGCACCCAGCCAGTCTTTTCGACAGCAACCACACTGTGAAAGCAACTATGTGAAAGGAGAAGAGGCTGAACAACAGTGGCTAGTAAGCTTCCACAGCCAGGGCTTTTATTTTCAACCCAATGATCAAAGCACAGGAGACCCTCTTAAATCATCAGGAAAATAATCTAATTTAAAAGGCAAAATAAAGTTTTTAAACACAAGATTAAAACAAGGGTGGATTTTGCCTGCATTGCACTGCTTCTGAACAGGCAGGAGGAGAGTGGCTATGCTGAGTGAAGCCATTTCTCGGAGGACAGAGATATTGTCTCAATTTGATTTGTGCTAGAGCACAGCTGCCCAAGGAAGAAAGCAGAATCTTTATTTTCTGCTAAACATGACATGTCACCTGTAACTTCTCGCTCAGGGGAAAAAAGGCTTACAGTGATCAGCAAATGTGCAAAAGTTGCTACAGAATCTTAAGGGTTATGTTAAGCGTCTAATACCAGACTCTTTGCCCTGATGAAACTGGGGAAAAACTAGAGACAAGAAAGGAGCCCACCTTTCTATTTTATATCCCAAAATAGTGGTCCTCTGCATCAGGCTGGGCTGCCTGGACAGAAACACCAGTTGGGGACATGACATTTGTCAAATAGCCATCAGTCCAGATCCTTAAATTGCCCCTAAGTTTACATCATTTCTCTGCTCAGCTTCACTTTGTGCTAGATGGGTAGCTACACGTTACAGAAATACATCCAAGATTAGCTCCAAAGTACTTACTGTGAGGGGCCTGCCACCATTATATGTGAGCTTGCCCGGCCATCCTACCCAACAACCCAGCTCCTGTCCTGGATCCTCAAACAGGCAACTATTCACCAATTACCTTAAAGGGCTGTGCATTTTAAAATCAAGTGTTGAGTAAGCGTAACAGTTTTGAAGTGGACTATCCAACTTTGCCTCTCAATAGCCCACTAGACCACCATTTTAAAAAGCAATGCACTCCCCTGTGACTCCATACAATAGTGAGACCACCTGGAGACCTGATCTTTTGCTGACCAAGTGTGCACCTGCAGTCTCTCATACTGGGAGATAAACTTCTCGACAGGCAGAGTATTGCTACTTACAGGAATGTGAGGTAGTGGCACACGTCCATTTGCTTTGGCACTTTCCTGCATCTCTCGGCGATGCTGCTTTCGGAGTCTGTACGGGGGGATCCCATCTCTGCCAGGACAAAATGACAATATGCGCCACTTTAGTGCCTTCCATTAGATGATCTCAATGCACACTACGTTCATTTAAGCGTCATAACTCCCTTCTGAAACAGGTATTATCTCTGTTTCATAGATGAGGAAACTGAAGGAGAAAGGTTCCTTGTACACTCGTCAAGTGAGCTGGTTAAGGACGACAGGAGTTAATGAGGAGTAGTCAAATGTAAGAGAGTGCCATTTAAATATAACATATGAAGACAAGCAACTGAATATTGACAAAATGTACATGTGCTTATATACAAATGCTAGAAGTCTAAATATTTTCCATCATTGTTTGCAGTGGTGTTGTAGCCATGTTGATCCCAGGATGTTGGAGAGATAATGTGGGTGAGGTAATATCTTTTATTGGACCTGCTTCTGTTGGTGAAAGAGACAAGCTTTTGAGCTTTCAAAAACCTGTCTCTTTCACCAACAGAAGCTGGTCAAATAAAAGATACCACCTCGTCTCTCTAGATACTAAGATGAGTGAACTTGAGTGCATTAAAGGAGGATATTGATATAACAGGCATCATGGAAACTTGGTGGAATGAAGATAATCAACGGGACACAGTAATACTAGGGTACAACACATCTAAGAATAAGAGAGTAGGTTGCACTGATGGGGGAGTGGCACTATATGTGAAAGAAAGTATTGAGTCAAATAAAATAAAAATCTTAAATGACTCAAACTCTATGGATAGAAATTCCATGCTTGAACAATAAGTGTACAGCAGTAGCAATATACGACCATCTGACATAGGATGGTGACAGTGACTGTGAAATGCTCGTGGAGATTAGAGAGGCTGAAAAGGAAAAAACCACAATAATAATGGAGGATTTCAGCTATCTTCATATTGACTGGGTATTGTAGCAAGGTACCTCCTTCACCTCTCCAAGAAGTACAGGGGGCCTGGAGTAAATCAGTCCCATTCCAGAGAGATTTTATTCCTCACTCCGGTTTTATTTTTCAGTGTTTACAAGGTAGGCCTCAGGGTAGGCCCAAGGAGTACACTTAAGCCAAACAAACAAAACACAAGTTAATAACATAAAGGGTATGTCTACACTACAGGATTAATCCGAATTTAGATAATTCGAATTTGGGAAACAGGTTGTATAAATTCGATTGTGCGCGGCCACACTAAGCACCTTAATTCGGTTTTAAACCACATTAATTCGGTGGTGTGCGGCCACACTACCCCATTAACTTAAACACAGTAATTCGGTGGTGTGCGTCCACACTAACCCTAATTCGAATTAACAAAATCGATTTAGGCTCTACTCCGTTCGTCGAGGTGGAGTACAGAAATCGATTTAAAGGGCCCTTTAATTCGAATTAACTGGCTCTGTAGTGTGGACGGGTGAAGGGTTAATTCGGATTAAGGCAGCTAAATCCGAATTAAAGTCCTAGTGTAGACCAGGCCAAAGAGATCTAAGAGTCATCTGCTCAATGTGCAGTGGCAGTCAAAAAAGCTAACAGAATGCTAGGAACCATTAGGAAAGGAATAGATAATAAATCAGAAAATATAATGCTGTTATATAAATCAATGGTACTCATTCACCTTGAATACTGTGCGCAACTCTGGTTGCCCCATCTCAAAGAAGATATATTAGAATTGGAAAAGGTACAGAGTAGGGCAGCAAAAATGAATCAGGGTATGAAATAACTTCCATGTGAGGAGAGGTTAAAAAGACTGGGACTGCTCAGCTTAGAAAAGAGACGATAGAGGTCTATAAAATCATGACTGGTGTGGAGAATATGAATAAGGAAGTGTTATTTACTCCTTCACACAACACAAGAACTAGGGCTCACCAATGAAATGTATAGGCAGCAGTTTAAAACAAGCAAAAGGCAGTACTTATTCACACAACACACAGTCAACCTGTAGAACTAATTGCCATGGGGTACTGTGAAGGCCAAAAGTATAGCTGGGTTCAAAAAAGGATTAGATAAGTTTGATGGAGGATACTCCATCACTGGCTGTTAGTCAAGATGGTAGGGATGCAACCCCATGCTCTGGGTTTCCCTAAACCTCCAACTGGCTGAAGCTGGGACTTGGCAACAGGAGATGGATCACTCAAAATTGCTCTGTTCTGTTCATTTCCTCTGAAGCACCTGGCACTGGCTACTATCAGAAAGAGAGCATACTGAGCTAGATGGACAATTGTTCTGACCCTGTATGGCCGTTCTTATAACTATATCTGCCTATATGACCACTAACTCCTATGAACAACATTTCTCTTTCTGTTCAAAACACTAGAAATTAAATGAGAAAACTTCATTAATGCAGCGTTCAGGTTCCCTGGCTGTATCTCCTGCCATTCCAGAATGTCAAGTTCAGCAAAACTCACTTCTTTCCTATCATCTTTACCAGGATATAGAATTCCCCCTTTAATAAATTCACCCCAAAAAATGTTTCCAACCGCTCATCCACATTTGCTGGCTTTCCCCCAGCATTTGGTTTAAAAATTTCTCTCTAACCTCTTTTAATTTTACATGCCAGCAATCTGGTTCTGTTTTGGTGTAGGTGGAGCACCCATGGAAAAAAATTAGCGGGTGCTTAGCACCCACTGACAGCCAGCTCCCCCCATTCCTCCTGCCCACCGACGGCCCTGCCGATCAACTTCTTCACCTCCCTCCCAGTGCATCCCGCCCTCCGCGATCAGCTGTTCCACGGCGTGCAGGAGGCAGTGGGGAGTGAGGAGCGCAATGGGGTGCACTTGTGGGAAGGGGCAGGGTGGGGGGTGGGAAGAGGCGGGGGTGGGAGCCTGGGGGAAGGGGTGGAGTGGGGGGGCAGGGCTTGGAGTTGAGCTAGAGTTGAACACCCCCGGGGAAAGGAGGAAGCCAGTGCCTGTGGTGCAAGCAAACAATATGTGTTTTAATATGGCTAAATGTAAATATATACAGCCAGGAACAATGAATGTAGGCCATTCTTACACGATGGGGGACCCTATCCTGGGAAGCAGTGACTCTGAAAAAGATTTGAGGGTCATGGTGGAAAATCAGCTGAACATGAGTTCCCAGTGCGACGCTGCGGCCAAAAGGACGAATGTGATCCTTGGATTCATAAACAAGGGAATCACAAGCAGAAATAGAGAGGTTATTTTACCTCTGTATTTGGCAGTTGGTGCAACTACTGCTAGAATACCGTGTCCAGGTCTTGTGTCCTCGATTCAAGAAGGATGCTGATAAACTGGAGAGAGTTCAGAGAAAAGCTACGAGAATGATTAGAGAATTAGAAAATTTGCCTATAGCGGTAGACTCAAGGAACTCAATCTATTTAGCTTAACAAAGAGAACGTTAAGGGATGGCTTGATTATAGTCTATAAGTACCTACCATGGGGAACAAATATTTAATGATGAGCTCTTCAATCTAGCGGAGAAAGGTCGAACACAATCCAATGGCTGGAAACTGAAGCTAGACAAATTCAGACTGGAAATAAGGTGTAATTAACCATTGGAACACACTACCATGGGGCGGGGGGGGGGGGCGATTCTCCATCCCCAGCAATTTTAAATCAAGACAGGATTTTTTCTAAAAGCTCTGCTCCAGGAATGATTTCGGGGCAGTTCTCTAGCCTGTGCTACGCAGGGGGTCAGACTAGATGATCACGATGGTCCCTTCTGGCCTCGGAATCTCTGAGGGAAATGTAGGGCTGACAGGCAGTCCTGCCCCTATTCTCCCTGCCCTTCTCCTGTCACTCACCCCCATGCCGCCCTTTCCAGTATCCCATCCCACTCCTCTAACTTCAACCACGCCCCACTCCTTTCCATCCCTTGACCCACAACTGCTCTACCAACTCAACCCTATGTCTTCCCCTCTCATAATCATCCATCTCCTTGTTGCACCCCAAAGCTCTTTGGCAGCCCTGATCACCTTCCCCTCCCACAGAACATCTGCATGGGTAATTTATTTTCTTTTCAAAAAGAATGTCTGCGCCTTCTGAATACTCTGCTGTACTCCGATTACATCTCCCCAAAATACAAAAACCCCTTGGACAGAGGCAGGTAGTAGCAAGATGCCTCCTTTCTTTATTTCAGATTTCTGCCCATGGCTGGATTTGAGCTCACAGTGACTGGGTGTTGCTCAGGTTCAATGGCTGTAACATTCCTCCTTGAACTATTCAGTTCCCATGATTCACAGATAGTTTCCAACTGCCTCTATCTCTGCACATGCACATGCACAGTGTAATCTGTTTGATGTGGGAGCTTTAGAACTGCTGGTGCATGCTTAACTAGAGAACCAAACTCTTTGGCTAATAACTCTCTAATCTGATTTCTCTCGAAGGTGGCATGCACTCTTTTGGGGGTAACTCTTGAGCGTTTGAGTTCCTGGTGCAATTATCTCAGCCCTGGTTTGCTATCTGTGTACACAAAATAGAGATTGCTAAAACAAGTGAACTTAGAGAAAAGCTGGGTTTTTGGGGCGGGGGGAAATCCCTTGGTCATATGGCCCCGAATTTGGATCAGTAACCAAACCCCATGCCGCCAGGAGGCACACCAAATTTCAAGGCAATCTGAGTAACCATGAGGATTTTAGAGCACTTAGAAGAGTTGTGCTTTAAACAGCTGGTCTTAACCTTCAGTGTAGCAGAGCTGGCGTTCCGCTGTAATACAGTGAGTAAACCACAGATTGGTCTGGGAGAGGAGGAGGAAGAAAAGGCAGTACAAGGATAACTATAGTGAGGAAAACTCAGCCTGGAAATCAGGAACACATTTTTAATAGAGAGGGTAGTTAACCACTGGAGCAGCTTCCAAAGGGATGTGGTGGATTCCCTATCACTGATATCTTTCTAAAAGACATACTCTAACTCAACCAGAAGTTATGGACTTGATCCAGGAATCACTGGATGAAAATTTATGACCTGTGCTATGCAGGAGGTCAGACAAGATGATTGCCATGTTCCCTTCTGGCCTTAAAATCTATGTATTGTTACTGCATGGTTGGGTTCTGCTGAAAGTTCCAAAGAACAGTT